TGCCAGTAAGCTCAAAAAGATGTCAGAAACAAGACCTAGAAGGCCGTGCGCCAGCAGGCGCATCACCACGACGTCCAAAATGGCCCCCGAAAGGTTTTCTGACCCCGCCGACTGTTTTCCCCCCCGGAAATGCCGCAGTTGCTGTTGTCTGATTATCAGCCGCTGACTCGTTTGCAGCCTCCTCCTTCTTCTTCTTCATTTCTTCAGCCTTCGTTGCATCAAAAGGGTGTGACAACAGAGCAACTCCTAAACATAAATATACTGTACCTTTCATAAAGCCATCAAGCCATCAAGCCTTCAAAATGGTAAGTTCACTTAATCTTACCAACGTTTGAATGTTTCAAAGCACCAACGTCGTTTGTTCCGTCACCACACATCAAAGTAATGTAACCAAGAGCTTTCAACTCATTGATAATTCGTTCCTGAAATGTGAAAGACTGGTTTTAAATGGTAAACTTCGAGTACTTGAAAAACAAAGCTTAATACCACTCAGAAGAAAGGTTTATACTAAACAGTGACAGGTTCAACCTTCTGTTTTGGAGCCATACGCGCAAACACTTTCACGTAAGGTAGAATTTGAGTGAGGAAAGCATGATGGCTCTGTAAAAGGTACTGGAAAGCCTAAAAAAAAATGAAGGTAAAAATCCAAAAAAAATCCTCAGCAAATAATCATAGAAGAACTGGTAAAAGAAACATAAAAGGTAATAAACACAGTTCCTACTTACAGGTCCAGTCAAGCAAAACTCGTTGTTTTTAAGAAAATCAGTCATCGCTCCTTTAGAACTTGGTAAAAGGTCAAGGATGATATCCCCGTCAACTGACTCCCAAACCCATGGATCACCAGGAACTAATAATAACAAGTGTTATAAAACGGTTCAGTGAAAAAATAGAAGGCAAAAAACGCTTGATACCTTTTGGTTCATCTAAAACTAGCGTTGACAGGTTCTTTTTGGTAAAGCGCAATACTTTGGCAACATGACAAGCAGTAAGTGGGTTATCACCAGTGATCATTACGACTGTATGTGAAGACTCAACAATCTCCTTTATCATAGCTCTTGTATCTTTTTTCAAAGGACACGATATAACGACGAAACCAGCAAAATTCAAATCTTTCTCGAATTCTTCTCTTTTCTTCTCTCGAATCTAAATGTTTACTTATGTGATCTGCCATATTAGCAACTACTGAAAAACCAGAAAAAACAGCGTATTTCAAATTCTCTGACTACCCTTGTGCCATAATTATTCTGTTACTTCGCAATATCAAAAAGAAACCTCTTGATAACTGAGCGTCCCTACTTCTTTAACTCCCAATGCCAATACTCTTGCACCTTTTCGGGTAAGGTGTTGATAAATCGCTTTATATTTAGCAGGAACAGAAGAAAACTGAAATTACGACTCAAATGAAAACCAAATTCCACACCACTCAACTGTAACGAGCTTGAGAAAATAAACTTACCATAGGCTCGAGAACTTCAGGAGCACCTTTAACAGCAACCATATGCTTTGTCTCGCTAGTACCGGGCACTATGTATCCCGCAACCACTGTCATCCTTTTCATTGCAGAAGAAAAGTGAAAACGATGGAATATCTTTAGAGGATGCATTTTCGACTTCTTAGGTATCACAGTATCATCTAAATAAAGTAAAACTTAGAGAAGAAAATAACTAAAGACAGTAAAAAATTCCTTGCATACTTTTTGTGACATTCCAATCAGCCCATGTCAAACAAGCCTTCTCTAATGGATCTCCAACCAAATCCTCATCAAATCGCACAAGACCATGGCAAGCCACCAAAACTTGAATAGTTTCATCAGGAGCTTCTGCTGGATTAGTCGTTAGTTTATACTCTCCATTTTCGTCATAAGAATCGGCCAGTACAACACCTAAACCAAAGAAATTGTTTATAAGATGTTCAAACATGATTAAAAACGATGATAAATATTATGAAAATAAACCCTCAACAACAAGATTGTCTGTCGTCAGTGTGCCTGTTTTATCAAAACAGCACACGTCAATCTTTCCAGCGAATGGAATCCGGAAAGGCTCTGTACAGAAGACGCCTGAAACAGACAATGACATCTGCCTACAAAACATCACACTGTTAAACACTATACTGTGTATAAGTAACTACACAAGCGAATTGATAGACAAGAAATACCAAGCTTCTGTAAGGCCAACAAAGAGTTGTTAACCGCGAGAGACAATTCGATTGGGAGTTCCGGAGGAATTACGCTAGTTAAAATAAGTGAGCATTCGAGGAATAATTTGTATTTACTGCGGGACTCGTCCTCACTGCCTTAAAAGATAAAATAACTAACGTATAAAAAATGTCGTATACAAAGAAAAATTATCATCCCGAGTAATTGTTACCTTTAATCCAGAGATACGCTGCAGCCACAATAGCGAAAACAAGTAAAAACAATATAAAAGCGAAAGTTTCAAGATTATTTGCAGTTACTCTCTTTACACCAAACATAATGGTACGCAGCAAACGTCCCTGACTTGTATTGAACCCAGTCCTCAAAACAAAGAAAAGACAACCACTGTCCGGTCCCTTCAAACCCGCTTCATTTCTTGCTGTAATGCAAAAAGGCAGTTTATGTTTAAT